GATTTTATTTAAAAGACATTTGTCTGCTTGTTTCAGTGGGCTAATTGATGATAAGCCATTGCGTTTTCGAGGTGAGGTATATCATGGCTACCATTTCAACTGTACAGCCTGTGGTATAGAGCTCACTTCAGAGGCTCGTGAAGTTCGCAGTCGTCCTGGGTTTGCAGCCAATGAAATGGTAAGTACCAGACTGGTCTAAGGCATGTGTTTTTGAGCAGGATGATCAAGGAAGGACGACGTGCATTTCATGACCCATCCGGAGTCACATAACACACGTGGGGAAGATGAGACATATGCAGAATTTTGGTTGGAAATTCTGCGAGGAAGAGATGTAGGTGTAGGTGGAAGGGAGATATTACAGGATTAGAAAGGTGCACCCTTTGGATTGCACTGAAATTGTGTAGGTGTTCTTCATGCCACAACACAGGCTGTGAAATCAGCAGGTTACTTCATTGATAACCAAGATCAAAAGGAACGGGGTATTTAGATCACTCTTACTTGAAAGGAATGACAAAGGCAGCAGTGGTGTCCAAGGTAAACATTCCTGTAATGTGATCTGAGGCCATTGTTTTGACCCAAGATTGACCTGTTTCCATTTTAACAATTTGCCCCGACAGAGTTCTTAGTTCTGATTGATGCAATAATGTATTTTGATATGACATAGTGCTTATTGTTGCAACATTGTCTTCACACAGTGACTTCATTTCCCATATTTGCAGCTGCATCAGTTTTCTAGCAGTGACCCTGGGTTATTTTATTTGCCCAGCTTTTGAGACGAAAGTGTTTTTATTCTTTTCTCACTCTAGAGCTTGAATAATACCCAACAATATTGGGAAGGTATATTCTGTAGAGCAGTGGTTCTTACACTTCTTCAGCCAGGACCCACATTAAGTTGGGAGCCAGCTTCGTGACCCATGATGTTTAATTAATAATGTATTTCCTTTAAATAACTTTACTCTTGTCTACAAATTAACTGTATTATTTTTATTAAAATGTAAATAATGCATACTGAATTAGATACTTATCCAAAATAATAATATTAGAATGTGATTAATAATTTGTTTATTATGTATAAAAAGTTTTACAAAAGCATGAATATTAACATTGTGACTTAATTATTATTACAGATTAATAATTTATTGGTTGGTAGTACACACAACAGTGCTTTTCCAACAATATCCTTGGTTCCTATTTTTGTCTGTTCCAACAGTCTGGTCTTTGGTCTCATTGTTGTGTGACAGTGACCCATGTTCATGCAGGTTGCCTATCTCCTGGGAAAAACTAGACAGACATGGATGACAAGGTGTGTTTTGCTCACCGGAGTGTGAACTGCCACTGAAAATGTATCAGGGAAATAAGGGTGGACAATGTTCTTTCCATTTACCTGGCTCAGGTTAGGGACTGATGATGGGCATATGGGTTCCATAAAGGGTGGGGAATTTCTAGACTAGCTAGGCCTACTCTTACCATCTCAAGAAGGACTCTGCTTCATGTTGTTAGTCGTTTAATATGTGTTTTGAATTGTAGGTCATGTAACTGTTAACAAAGATGTGAGTTTTGCTTTCAGAATGAGCTGTATTGCCTGCGCTGCCATGACAAGATGGGTATTCCCATTTGTGGTGCTTGCAGGCGACCTATTGAGGAGCGTGTGGTGACTGCACTTGGGAAACATTGGCATGTGGAAGTAAGTTTTCTGGAAATGAAATTGTGTTTCTCCATTTGCATGTAGTCATTCAAAACACTTGTCTACTTTCATGCTGACAGTAGGCGCCAGATGTCTTATGAGCTGTGTTTCCTAGTTTCCAAGCTGGACTGGATTCGGCATGGTCAGGTGAAAATGTAGAGCAGTCTGGTGCTGCGGTAGTTATTTGTTGTGTGTGGATCATTCTGATTATTTCTTGATCCGTACCATATGTGTCTTGTACCTACCTTCCTTGGTGTGATTCACCGTCCATTATTTCATATGCTGTTGAAGTTTGATTTTGGATCCATGCATAACTAAAAGTGTGGAATTAATCGAAGAGATTAGCTTTTTTAGAATGTACACCACTTGCCACAGGTTGACAGCTCACAACATGTCTGGTGACTACAGTACTGAGGTAAAAAGTAAAGCTGCTCTGCTGTATACCATGTGAGTGCTTGGGGGGAGAGGAGGTATAGCTCCTACTCATTCTTAACCTTGGCACTAGGTAGGGGTGAGGAATGAGAGGTGAGTATTTGATTGTTGTCAGTTGAAATATGATAGTTGAAAGATCTAGTAATTGTGAAAGAAATTGAAATTTAGGGCTGCACTGTGACCTGAGGTTGGTTGCAGAAGTTTTTTAAGCAAAATGATTTCTCATGGGTCAACATTTGCGCAGGAGTTTCAAATTGTCATCCATTCTTTTTATATGTTCAAACTGTCTAAACATATCTTCCAACTTGTTTCTGTAATTCGTCTACCTTGAGCTGTCTCCTGTAATTCTAATTCTCTCTTCTGGGTTTTCAAAATATTCCTTCCTGGAATTTAATCTAAGCTGCTAAGTTTACAGTCCTGTCTCTTAATACATGTCATGTGTACTACTTCTGTTGTGCTGTTGGTAATAACTGTTTTGTTTATGCAGCATTTTGTGTGCGCCAAGTGTGAGAAGCCTTTCTTGGGACATCGCCACTATGAGAAGAAGGGCCTGGCTTACTGTGAGACGCATTATCACCAGCTATTTGGAAATCTGTGCTTTGTGTGTAACCAGGTGATTGCAGGGGATGGTACGTGTTCAACTTGAACTCTTGCGTCTATAAGGGAGTACCAAAGCCAGGGACACTCCTTAAATTATAAAAGTAATATATTTACGCAGATCAGAAATGTGGAGTTCGCTCTTACTACCTCCACCACTTCATCCTTTTCTCCACTAAAGAAATCGTGTGTTTATTGATCTACATTCTCAAGGAATGTGATGTCCATGTTCCTTGTGAAGGGATGTTCTTCATGTCCATTGCAGTCATTGTTTTGAGGTACTTTTTTGTGTTTAATCTTTAAACACAAACAGAACATGTACCAGATACTGGAGAGTGCATAGGCTTTCATGTATTGATTGAATATCAAGTTAATTGAAATTATTGAAACATACCATACTTGTCTGAATAATGTTCATTTCTTCTTCCTGATTCAGTTGGGAAGGAATAGAATTGGACAATATTGAATTTTATTACTTGTAACATAGTTTGTTGGTATGTTGTTATTTGTACTTCCAGTTCTGCTGTGATTTTCTTGGGGTCTCTACCCAAGGCCATAGAATTCATTTTTTAGGTGGGATTATACGTGGGTCTCTATTTTCAGTTGCTCTCATTTATAGGGATATGAAAGGAATCATGGTGGGCAGAGGGGACCTAGAGTTTAACTCAGACTCCAGATTATGATACCGTACAAGTATTCTTCACATTCCCAAAATTAAATTATTGGCTTAGTTGAAGGCTTCAGTCTGTAAGCAGAAAAAGTGTGTGTGTGTCTAATCAGGGATCAGACTCAAATGTCTTTCCTTGAGACCACAACGTCCGCACATATGAAATATTGCATTCACAATTTTGATCTTTGCAACTGCAGTTCATTTACTTACTGCAGTAGAAAATTAAGCTACAGGAGTGATGCTTGTGAGCAAAGCTCAAAGTGGAGGAAGTGAGGTAAACATAAAGGGGAAAAACCTTGGGGCAAAGAGTCCTCTGGGTATACCTTGGAGGGTAGGAACCCTCAGAGTGAAATCCACTCGGTTTGCTTTGTGCCTAGTTCCAAGGGCACAGATGAAAGTCTAGTGAGGTAGAATTGATGAAACATATGACAGGCAGGCAGACATGTACTGGCCCAGAAGATGTTTTTCACTCATGCTGGAGCATGAAGAATACCTAGTAATGCAAAATTTGTAGTGGGATTACATTGCTTTACCACTTTCTAAAACTATATGAGAGCATCATACAATTGAAACTGAAATAAGCAGAAAAAATATTAAATGTAATATGAATGGAATAAAAGAATTGGAGAACTTTAAATACTCAAGAAGTAAAATAGTGACAAATGGAAGTGTTAAAGAAGAAATTACCATCGGAATAAAATATTCAGAACAATGTTGCCATGTAATGAGGGACAGACTCTGGAAATGGAAATGCTTGAGAAAGGAAAAATATGCCTGTTTAAAGGTTACTGAATGCCCATATGGGAATATATATTCACATGGATCTCTAATCTCTTATATAAACATCTGTGTGAATTCCTATGTTTGACACGAGCCATTAATCTTACACAAGTTTTGCAAGTGCATATATTTTTGCAGTTAAATGAATCCCCCCCCCCGAATTATCCCATGCTTCATTATGGAGTGTAAATGTCCGAAACTGATTTCAGTGTGTTAATGTTGCTGATAAGCAACATTGATCCTGCAGCATAACATGCACCACTTAGCTTATGTATATCAGTTAATCAGTATTATTTGTCTAATTTTAAGTGGTTGTAAATTTACAGATCCAAGAGTTCTGTATTTACTGACTTTTGAATACACTTTCCATTATAACCAATGCTTTAAGCATATCTGAGAGCTAGTTGTTATAAATTTATTATATTTGTTTTATCTAGATTCAGGGACAGCTTGTTAACAGTAAACCATGTGCTAATATGAGAGAAAATGTTGTTTGATGTTGCATGGAAGTCAACTTTTTTACTATAAATTATGACACTAATGTTATCAGCAAATGGTATGGGTTTTGTTAAGGTATTTATTGTTGGAGGAATGTCATTTATGTATCTTATGATTATGAAGGGTTCTAGAATTGACTCCTGTGTAACTCCTTGATTTATTGTTTTCTGGTGTAAGAAAAATTATTCTGATTGCTTTAAGGTGATTTTACTTTGACCTTTTGTTTTCTGTTAGGATATGAAACATTTTGCAACTATCCCTTGAATTCCATAAAAATGTAATTTAGGTAATACAATTTTATGATTTACACAGTCAAAAGCTTGTGCTGTATCAGAAATTTCCTCCAACATGCATTTTTTGGTCAGTAGTTTTTAGCACATTTTCTGGTAGTGTACATACTCAGTTCACACATCTTTCTGAAACAAAATAACATGAATAACATTGCAAAAGATTGCATCACCAATTAATAGTCATTGGTTAAAAGGTTGTTTAGATCACCAGGCATTTTCAAAACTCTTCAGACTTTTTTTATTATATTATATTTTTCAACCAAGGACATTTCCTGCCGTATCACCGCACAGAAATTTAACTTGCTACTTGATGTGACATACATGTAGGCATTCCAGGAACTTAATTGTCACACCTTGTATGTCCAAATCCATGGGGCAGAGTCGTTCATGAGAAACTGAGTCTCTCAAGAAATTCCCCAACTCATGCAACCCCACCACTGGCCCCTGTCCTAAGGCAGATGAATTGACTCCACACTTACCAACCCTGTTTATTTAACATGCATTTTAATGTTTTCCTATCATTTATTCCTAATGACTTTAGGTTATTGTCATTGTTCGCTGTGAAGTAGAAGAGGTGAAATAGTGTAGTCCGTAATTATGTTTAATGGCCTGTCGTAATTTTCTTCTGTGTGAAACATTATGCAAATGTACCTTTTATGTTTACAGTTTTCACTGCTCTTAACAAGGCATGGTGTGTGCACCACTTTGCCTGTTCTGTCTGTGACCAGAAGATGAACCAGAAGACCAAATTCTATGAATGTGATTTGAAGCCAGTGTGCAAGAAATGCTATGACAAGTACCCTAATGAGCTACGGCGTCGACTGCGAAAAGCCCACGAACAGACGCCCAAGAAATCACCTGCTTAGGTATTTAGTCTCGGAGGATTGTAATCTCAATATCTGTTGTAGAAGGTGATAGGTTTAGTGGTTATGTTCAAGTCAGTATGTGTGCATCTTTTGTCCACAAACTGCAGGGTCCATTTTAAATAACCTTTGTTTTCATCTGTATTTTTTATTCACATTTTCTAATATATGTAATGATTCTTGGTAACAGGAACTTTGCATGTGAGGAAAAGTGAAATTATTATGTATTAACTGCACATAAACACTTGCATGTTACAGCAGTTTTTCACTCCAGAAAGATCAACCTAACACCCTTCTTCAAAATGTTGTTTATTATCACTGTTAGATCCACATAAGCTCATTGTTATTTGGTAAGTTATTTATCCGCAGTACTGTATTGTTTTAATTATTCCTGCTTCGTTTTTTATGTCATTCGGCAGCATCAATAATCTCTCCCCATCTGCTGAAATTTCTCTTTAAAGAGAGAACGTACATAAGAAATATGAAACAAAATGTTTGTAGGTGTTGCCCTCCCTTCACCTTATACCACATTTTTTTTTTGTCAGGTTCAGATCTGGGTAGTAAAATGGCAGATACAAAACAATGTGATTCTTGAAGATTTAATTAAAATGTACTTGTTATTTCATGGATTGTGCAGTTTCTTGAAGGCATATAAAGCTGGTTTTGGCATTTTATATTGAAAAGGAATATGCCTTTCTTCTCGCAATTTTGTTATTTATTTCGTTGTTTGGTTAATAGATACATTATTTACAACAATTTTCCCAGAAAACTGCAGTTTGGTTGCAGGTGCTATGGTAATTGCACATCCATCTGTGAAGAGGACATTTTCTCAAGGCAAAGTAGTGGGAAATTGAAGATGGCTGTCTTCTGGGTTGTTTCACCATGTAGTCTGGTAGAAGTTTATTGGCATTTCAGAGGTTGTTTATGTTTACAGTTTTCACTGCTCTTAACAAGGCATGGTGTGTGCACCACTTTGCCTGTTCTGTCTGTGACCAGAAGATGAACCAGAAGACCAAATTCTATGAATGTGATTTGAAGCCAGTGTGCAAGAAATGCTATGACAAGTACCCTAATGAGCTACGGCGTCGACTGCGAAAAGCCCACGAACAGACGCCCAAGAAATCACCTGCTTAGGTATTTAGTCTCGGAGGATTGTAATCTCAATATCTGTTGTAGAAGGTGATAGGTTTAGTGGTTATGTTCAAGTCAGTATGTGTGCATCTTTTGTCCACAAACTGCAGGGTCCATTTTAAATAACCTTTGTTTTCATCTGTATTTTTTATTCACATTTTCTAATATATGTAATGATTCTTGGTAACAGGAACTTTGCATGTGAGGAAAAGTGAAATTATTATGTATTAACTGCACATAAACACTTGCATGTTACAGCAGTTTTTCACTCCAGAAAGATCAACCTAACACCCTTCTTCAAAATGTTGTTTATTATCACTGTTAGATCCACATAAGCTCATTGTTATTTGGTAAGTTATTTATCCGCAGTACTGTATTGTTTTAATTATTCCTGCTTCGTTTTTTATGTCATTCGGCAGCATCAATAATCTCTCCCCATCTGCTGAAATTTCTCTTTAAAGAGAGAACGTACATAAGAAATATGAAACAAAATGTTTGTAGGTGTTGCCCTCCCTTCACCTTATACCACATTTTTTTTTTGTCAGGTTCAGATCTGGGTAGTAAAATGGCAGATACAAAACAATGTGATTCTTGAAGATTTAATTAAAATGTACTTGTTATTTCATGGATTGTGCAGTTTCTTGAAGGCATATAAAGCTGGTTTTGGCATTTTATATTGAAAAGGAATATGCCTTTCTTCTCGCAATTTTGTTATTTATTTCGTTGTTTGGTTAATAGATACATTATTTACAACAATTTTCCCAGAAAACTGCAGTTTGGTTGCAGGTGCTATGGTAATTGCACATCCATCTGTGAAGAGGACATTTTCTCAAGGCAAAGTAGTGGGAAATTGAAGATGGCTGTCTTCTGGGTTGTTTCACCATGTAGTCTGGTAGAAGTTTATTGGCATTTCAGAGGTTGTCACTTCCTCCTCATGTTATATAATAGACAAATAGAAAAGAGAAAATACAGTGAAACCTCGATGCATCGTTTTCGGCGGGGGTGGGAAATAAAAACGATGAATGCGGGAAAACGATAGATGCGGGAAAGCATTAAAAATTAAAAAAAAACAATGTTTCTCTTTCAAAGTTACTTATTTTTACCAAAAAAGTCTTTAATGGACAACTGGTTTGTCGAAACTTTACGTTTTAGGCCAAACAGAGCCCTTTCCACGTTCAAAATGTTTTCCTCGTCATGTTCACTAATATTATGCGCATAAAAGAACGACTTCACTTTTGCCAATGCAGCGTGTGCTTCGGCAAAACTCGGCAAAGTTCGGGCTCGCATTCGTCGTTTCTCCCTCTTCCTCACCGCTCCCTCCACCTTCGCGGACTATAACAGGAAAAATGGAAGTACTATTACTGCCGAACTCAACGAAACGTAGCTGTAGAAGACACGATATGAACCAGAAGAATGAAAAAGTTTCGCTCGCCTTTCCTTTGTACTTATAATAAAAGCATTTGTGAAGAAATTCACACTGCACATGCCATCTGGCATCGCTGGAACGAAATATGAGTGCACCCTAATTAAAATCGTAAAATTTCTGACAATGAGCACCGCCATTCACTCCAATATCACCCCTGCACCGCTGACCCTCATTCCAAAAGAATGTGCTGGTTGGGCGACATAACAGGTTACCGCTACTGTTTATTCCAAAAACATTGTGCGTCTTTCGGAATTAAATTCTAAAAATATCACGTAAATTTCGTTACAATTTCTCAGAAACGATCATTGCGGGAAAATTGTGTGCTGGGACTAAGATTTTTTAAGGATCGATGCGATAAAACGATAGTTCGAGGAACGATAGAAGCGGGAAAATGTAACATTATTTTATATGGGATGTATTCGGGACCGAACAAAACGGACGATGCATCCGGGAAAACGATAGTTCCGGGAACGATGGATAGAGGTTTCACTGTAATAGAAGATGAATTAACTTAGAAGTAAGACTTGACTGAACTATTACATAACCTGGAGTGTTTGATCACAACCCTTCAGAATCAATTACTGTGCGATGTTTTCTCAACTGGAATACATGGATTTCTAGCCACAGATTTGTTGCTATCAGGCTTCTGTACTGTCAAGGTCAAAGCTTTTCTCCTGAGTGATGAACAGTACTTTTCTTACTATGTAACATTCCCCTGTGAATTGAAGAATTTTTTTAAACCTCCTATAACTCTGACCCATCTTGTTTTGCAAAGGTTCAAACTTTTATAAAAGGTGTTTAACGCCTTATTGATGGTTTGTTAATGGCATATTTGACCACATCCAATTACATTGTGTAAACAGTGTGCTGTCATTATTAACAAGTCTTGAATGTAGGAAACACTGAAAACTGTACAGAGGAGCCCAAATGCATTTTCTGACACACTTGTTGCCATATTTAAACTCTTGTAAAATGTGTCAGCCTCATCTTCATTTTGTGCAAGTCCACTTACAATATCAGTTAATTGCTGACATTCTGACTTATTCGTCGAGTTTGCTGTGTTTGTCCTCTTCTTTGCCCATCGTGCTGTTCTCTGTGATTGAGTGGGATAATTGCCAAATGAGAAGAAGAGCTATTACTGAGATGGAACTTCGGGTTAATCATGAACAACATTTTTAAAACTTTCTGTTTATACTCTAAAATTTATGTGTAATGGTAGTAGTAGTTTCCAGTGTCCTTTATCTTGTTGATGCAGAGGTTGAAGCAAATACCTGGTAGTGTTTCTTAGATCTGGTATGCAAGGCTTTGACTTATTACAGATTTCTTTGTATTTTATTTCTGTAGCTGTGCTGAGGACATATGCCAAAGCTGTGTCATTTGTCTTCCCATTTCTGGTAATCTCCCCTTATTCTCCCAGACTCAAAATTATGTGAGCTATGATTACATGTTTTATTACATCATAATTATACTGTCAGAAATTTAAAATAAACAGGTTTGTCTGTAGCTTCAGCTTGTCTGATGTTACCAGCAGATTTTGTTTTGATGTAGAAGGAAATGGGCCTGCAAAATTGCACTTTGCAGTCTGAATACACTGACATATTGTAATGTGGGCAACAAACATATTATGAATTTATAGCATTGCTTGGTTTTTCAGATTCTGAAGTAGAAGTGTCTTGTTAGATTGTCAAAATGCTTTCAAATGTTGACAGAGACTGAACATCCGTAAACTGAGTGAAGAAATTCACATGCCCATTGAAAGTAATTTATTTTTCTTCTGTTTGTTCATACTTTCCAAAAGAGAAAGAGCCATTGTACATCCAATAGTCACTGTTTATATAGCAAGCCTAGACAGTGACTATGACATTAAGTAGATGCGATGTTAATAATAGTATGTTATATGTAGCTTTAGAGTTCATTTTGTTTTATATCACTACTTCATAGTATTTTATGTTAACACAAATAATGTAGTTCAACATTTTATGAAATTTGAGTTTGCTTAAATGTGCATGATTTTTTGTACAAGATAAATTAGGTTCTATGATTCATCATAATATATTGCATAATAAAAGGATTAATTAAGTACTATGTTTGTATTTAATAGGAACTCCTGCATCAGGTTGGAAATTATTTCTTTCTCATCTATCATTTTTATCATCATACCTTACCATCATTAATATGAACATTTTTGCTTTCCCCATACAAAACCATTGCCTTTCATTTGTTTTTGTTTGCGTTTCTCCTTTCCCCATATGCCCCCTTGCATGTAGCATAAATACTTTATAATAAAACAGAAAGCATTGTGCACTGAGAAGAAAACATTTCTTAGGGTAGACAAGTTGTAGTAATCTTCTGCATGAACCTCTTGGTGCTTTAGTTAAGTAATGTAGAAACTAGTAATCTGTTAAAATGTAGCAAATTGTGTTGGTGATCAACTAGAATGTGAATTGATTTGTGATGTAGAATCCATCAACTAGCAATTTACTAAAATTGTAAAATTAAAACTAGAATTCTGCTTGTTAGTGTTGACTTATCTATGATGGGTGGGTGATTGTATTTCACAGGCTCTGGTTATTAATATTGAAGGCCACAATGGTGCCAACTTCTTTCATAGTATGCATTTTATTTGCTTTTTTTGTTTTGGTCTTTGAGAAATCAGAAGGATCAACTTTCATATTATGCTGTTCATGTATGTTCCATGAAAGGACAAGAAATATTTCTGTATTTATTATGTGCTCCATAATGGAGCCCTGTAAAATATTGTTTTATCCTGAATGAAATTAACATTGAAGAATATCCCCTACTGCAGGAAGTGTTGTAGTAATGATGCCGTGAATCTCACATGCGTCATTATAACTTTTAAGGTAAATAAAATAAAGTACATCTTATGTTTTCTGAGGCTGCTCATAGTATGAGGCCCTAAGCTGTACCCTATTCATGAGGATGTTTAAAAAATGGAGCACTAGGCAGTTCTATGGGAAGGACTTTGTTCTGGCACAGAAGAAATCAGAGTGAAGTGTATTTAGCCAGGAAACATAGACTTGCTGCAAGTTTCCACCATTTTTAAATTTCTTACCAGCCAGGTGCTCATTCAGTGGTCTGAATAGATGGAAATTACTTGGTGTGCGATTAGGACTGGCAGGTGGTCCAGAACCTCCCACTCATGCAACATACTATTTGTTGCCTTATTTTCTGAAATGCCTCTGTACTTTATATTTTAAGCCAACATTAGGTATATCCATTATGGGTGCAGTGGAGGACATGATGCTACCTAATCCCACTTGAGGAAATGCTACTAGAAGGAAGTTTTAAGTAAGTTCTTAGGTGTTCTTTACATTTTAGTTTGTTCATGTCTGCCTGCCTGTCTTATGTTTTTGTGAGGTTACCCAACCTGCCTGGCTGGGGTTTCAGTTCCTATTGGGATACTCAGTCTGCATGACCTGAGAGGGGGGTTCCCCACTGTTCCTATGGGGTACTAAACCTACATGGTTTTCAGCCAAAATTCTTTGTATTTTTCTCATTTTTCCCCATTCATGGTACATGCCCCATGATTTGATCATCCCAATAATATTTTATTAATAGTATTAATTACGGAGTTCCTTAGTTTCTTTCTAGCCTCCTGTTACTTCGTCCCTCATGGGTCAAGGTGTTTTCTCAAGTACTCTGCTCTCAAACAACCTCAATCTGTTTTTCCCCTTAATGTAAGAGGCCCATAACAATTGGTACAATTACAGTTTTTAAATCTTAGGACTCCTCCCCCAATATTGTCAGGGTGATTAAGTTGAGAAGAATGAGATGGGCAGGGCATGTGACGTGCATTGATGGGGCAAGAGGTGTGCACTGGGTATTTGTTTGGAAGCCATAAGGGAAGAGATTGCTGGGGAGACCTAGACATAGATGGGAGGATAATATCAAGTAGGATCTATGGGAGATAGGAGTTGAAGGCAATCAGATTTTGCTGGCCCAGAACAGGGACTAGTGGAGTGGTCTTTGATGAACCTTCAGGTTCTCTAAGCCATCTAGTTAGTTATATCTTCATCTCTTTTTTTTTTAGATAGCAGACAAACAAAATATTTTAACTGCATTCCCTGTATTTAGTCACCTGTTACTGTTACGTTTGTGCAGTAAACTTAACATATCATTTTATATTTCTTGATTTAATTTTTGAGCATTGTTCCATCTTCAGAGATACTGTAGCATTAAATTTGTTTGATTCCATCTCTTAAGAACTACAAGTTTGTTACTTAATTTTAAATATTGCTTTAGCAATTGCTCCTTTTTTCAAGGCTTCCAGAGCTTCTTTGTGTTGGCGAAGACTATATGTCTTGATGCCAAGACGTTCATAGTCCAGATACCTGCAGACAAGAACACATATCTTTTGTCATTTCTCTTGTGTGATTATATGTTCGTGATAATCAGACTTCAAATTTTCATTGTATTAATGAGATAATGTGTATTTAGGTTAGAAGTATTTTTCATTTTTGGTACTGATACTTGGTATATTTCTTTCTTTTCAGTTGTTTATTTTGATTTTGTCAAAAATTCAAAGGAGGTTGCAAATACCTGGTTTCCCCCAAGCACCTATTGTTTGGGGCATACCTTCATACACTAGTATTAAGGAAATGTCACAACCATAATTTGTTACGCTTATTTTTTCATTTGTGTTGATAGTGAATAACCAATTCAGTTGAGTCAACTTCGGACCCATTAACTGATCACCCTTGTGTATTATCAGTCTGCCCTTATTCTGCTAAGTAAGTGCTCATTTCTGCTCACCGTTTTGAATTACTTACTCTTTTTCTTGATGAGTCAGGATGGACTGTTATCAGTAGCACAGTATCATGCATCTTGTGTGTAGTTATGTGAAGTAGTAGAGGAAGATTTGTTTTTAGAATTGTAATTTGTACTGAGATTTGTCATAACTTTGAAGTTGTGATTTCTTTGTAAATCCTATGACGATTTGAGAAATGTCACAACATACCTGGTGCCCATGGCATCGATCCAACCCAGAGCCTTGGGGAAGCTGAATGGGTTGATGTTCACTGCAATGATGGTAAGCTCATTCTTGTACATCAGGAATGGAGAAATGCTGCATACAACAGTTATTTTTGTTTTGTCAATAAGTGCATCACAAATAGACAACTTTCACTGTATAGTTTGCTTTTGGTCACTATTTTGAATTTCATATGATATATGGAGAAAATGAAGGTAACGAGAAATAAAAGTCATTTAGCTTATTTGAGCTACTGTCAGCAGAGAGTGCATACATTTTGTTTCTGATTTCTCCATATATGGTCTGTGAGGACTTTCTTGTTTTTGCTCACCTAGGTAAGGTTGTAATATCTATTTCTGAGTGGGGAGCACCTATAAGGCAGATTGTATTACTCCCAATAATAGTGATCATGAAAATGATGTTTAGTTTAGTTGAGGGGGTGGGGGATAGCTTAATGTGGACTCCAAACCTCATCGTCACTTGGTACTTTTTACATTCTTAAAGTTTAACTTTGGAGGAGTTGGAAGTTAAATCTGCATAGATAAAATAATGTGTATACAGACATGACTGGAGACTAAACCCAGAACCCTCTAAATACAAAATCCTGTATCTTACCCCAGTAATACCAGATCTTCCATATTGAATGCACTGGCACATGTCAAAATTTAATATTTATATATAATCCCTTTGTTTTTTGGAACAAGAAGTGACTATACCACAGCCTGTTTCTCTGAAGACTCAAGTCTTTGAGTGATCAGCAATAACACTGACTGGCTCATCTGTCCTGACATAAAGACCACCCTTCCCATACAACATATATGTATATAAATGCTAAACATTTTAATGATTTTCCTCAGCAGTGCCAGGCAGGTGCTGATATAATGCCTTAAGGTAGTCCAACATGTCCATCCACACCCAATCTAAAGTCATCATTCATAATCATCTATTATCTCATTTGACATTACATAATCCTTTTGATTGATACAATATCAGTAAATAACATGACACATTCCGTCATTCATACTATCTCACCACTAACCACACTGGAGAAGGAAAAGTACAGAAGCAAAAGTAACATTTCTTCAATGTACCAAATACCTCTTGCAAGTTCATCAAGACAATAATAATTTCATGCACAGTATGTCTGTTTCAATCCAGGCCACATTATATCCAACTGATTTTTTTCAGGCAGATGTTTATAGTACACGTTTTTCTTCCCATTGACAGAAATTTATCCCACCGAAGTTAATTCACATGAATTTCCAATCATTTGCCTACATGTCCAGCCCAATGTGATTTAGATTGCAAGTATGATTTAATTTCTGCGAGATTTACCTCATTCTGGCTTGTGGTGATGTAATGCCAAAAATACACATTTTGCCTCCAGGTTTGATAAGCGTCAGGGCCTCCTCCATAGCGGGAGCATATCCACTGCATTCAATTACTAGGTCCACACCCCAATTGGGATCCTTGGTGTGAAGAGACTTGAGCTCATCTGGTGTGATGATGTCAAAGCCTGTCTCTGCAATGATCCCATGAAACCGGTGACTTTGATTCAGAATGGATAGAGGACAGGATTAATTTGAGGCAGCAACTGCAAGAAAGATGTTCCATTGGACAATGGATAGGAACAGGCCACCTTTCCTAATAGTACATATGAGTACAAAAACAGAACACATGGCCAATGGACTGCATCTTCCTATATTGTGTACCTGTGACTTTTGTCACCTTTATTGTATTTTTTTTTTTTTTTGATTTTGGATGTTCAAACTATGTCATTTTAAATATGTAAACCTGCTTACAAAGAATTCCCAAGTGATACACTCCAAGTTAAACCAGAAACAATTCTATTTTATCTGTCTGCCTCATTTTCCCTCCCTCTAATATTTCTTATTCTTTTGTTGATGACACTGTCACTGAATGGTTTTGCACCCGTAGGTCTCAGGTTCAAATCTTGGTCCACAGGATACCTATTCAGATAATTCTTTTCGTTTTATCTTTTACAAGCAAATGCCTTGCCTTAAAATAGGTCATGACTATGTAGGATTTGAGGTTTCCACAGCGGTGAGTCTGGATATTGCTGCCTTCTGGGTTATTGTGCCATGTAGTCTGGTAGATTTTGACCCATCTACCAGACTACACAGCACAATAACCCAGAAATCAGTCATTGTGTTCTTGCTCACCTAACTTCTCGAACAGTTTTCTGCGTGCTTCCTGTGGCTCACTAACAGTCACTCTGCGGTGGCCCTGAAGGTGCAGGACACTGGCCCACAGGTTGCCAATGATCCCTGCTCCAAGGATCAAGATTCTAGAACCCACAGGAATGGGGGAAATGCGATCCCACCCATGTGATATGCATGACAGGGGCTCTGTCAGGGCAGCTGAAAACATAATACATTTGTGTGTAGACGTGACTTCGCCTTTATCCGCAAGTTTAACTCAGTTGTACGCAGTTGGACATTACCTTGCTCCAGTGTTATGTTGTCAGGGAGTTTGTGCACCTGTTCAGCTGCCACCTTGCAGTACTGGGCCCAACCGCCATCGTTCCATATTCCAACAGTGTTGTTGATCCCTCCCACCTTGCAGTAGTGGTACTTACCCCCATGACAAAACTCACACCTGTAGCAGCCGCTGTGACAGTGTGAAGTCAAGTATCAGAATTATGACTGTTCCAAACTCATTCTTCATATTCTTTCTTTAAATTGGTATTGCTGAAACTTTTGGGTTATATTAGAATAAAATTCTAGGAAATTGTAAATGGGGCATGTGCAGACACTGAGCAGGGGTGCTGAAGGATTCAGGACTGCTTTTTATATGCCATGCATTATATTTATTTTAAGCTAACAACATGTTAATAATATTGACATACAGGAAAACAGCTTTGTTCTGCTGTATTTACTCTACATTTAACAAGTTAACAGTTGTTTTGCCACTTATGTCAATGAAACACAACTTTTTCACGTTAAGAAAACTCAATATGGCGAATTAATCCATCTATAATTAATGTCTGACATATGATTTGCCAGGGAAGTGGGGAATTTCATGAACAGTGGCACAGTCCCCTAAGAAGTAGGATGTCTTGTCACCTTCGGTTATTGTAAGGGGATAGGAAAACAGTTACCATACCAAGAACATTTGATATTTTGTTTACAACAGGCAATCATCTCAACAGCAGGCTTTCCCTGCCTATTGCTGTCAGCAGTCTACAGAAGACTTCAGGGCAGGACCATTCCATGTATCAGTTATTACTTCTACAAGATTTTATTATAGCAGCTTGAGTCAATGTTTCTTTATTTTGACCAACAGTAATCTTAACAGCACTGTATATACTTATTAAAATGTGTGGTAGCTTTAATTTTAAAAATGTTCCAAACTGTGAGGGTTTGGAAGATGGTTGTAGTAAACCCCACCTTTCCTATTGGCTCCTGGGCTTTTGCCCGATCCTGACTGTATTCCCTACCAGTCTGGTCAAGTTTCTGCCTTGACTGATCGGTTCCTACGTATCAAACTGATTCAACATGCATGGCTTACTTATCGACCTGATGATGGAGACAGCAAGGACCTCTGAATTGTTGGTAAACTTCTACCAGACTACACAGCACAACATCCCAGAAGACAGCCATCTTCATCTTTATACTTATGAATATACTTTGCCCCATTTTCCATTCCCATGTTATATCAGTGCCAGTTCTGCATTCCTGAAGGGCAGTTTATTATTTGTTGAGGGAGTGTGAAATAGCTTTCATCATTTCCTCAGTACTGGGTGTTTTGCTTAATGGCCATGCCATAATAATTTTGTATCAGATCATCTGCCACTCTCTCATTTCCATCCAAAATTTTTTAATCACTTGGTTTCTTCACCTACATATTTGTCGCATTGTTTTCAGTGGCTATTTCTTGCACAGCTTGGAAATATTCTGAGTCTTCGTATCTTAAATAATTAACATATTTTACGCTGTAGTAGGATATGAAACACGAATATTTGTTAACACCTGCAATCTTTGTCCTGCTACTATTTTTTCATTGTTATTATGCTAGTGTTATTATTATAATGAGCAGTAACAACAGCCCCTAACATAGTGATGTGTGGTAGAAAACGGCCCATGCAGTACCTTTAAAAAATTATTTTATCAAGCATGATGACACTACATTTAAAAAATAAAATTTTACTTATTAATTAAACATAAATTAAGAAATTAAAATTTAATGATTTTTGCCCTAATTATCCCTTGATGTGAAGTGCTATTCTTCTAAATTACATTTTAAATCATCCACACTCAATTATTTTATGAATTTAACTTGAAAATAAGGAATATTTTGACAAACTTCTGACATCTGTAATTAAATCGGGATGACATGCGAATGCAAGATGCACTAGGCTATCTCAGCCTATATCATATGACTAGTAAGACAGTGCAGTTATTTTGCACTTTGGACAATGGTTACCCTGTGTCTGGAATGACCTCTGCTGATCATTTCTGGGCAGTTTATCAAGCTGCCACATTAACAATCTGACCTTGACACAGAGGTTAGTGACAACTATCAGCTCTTACTCTATGTCCTTTGTACTTTCTTATTATCTATTTGATAGTTGGGTACCAAACTTCTCCAACCTTGCTTCTGAAGAGAAACAAGTTGTATAACATCACTGTGTCCATTCATGTGTCTTCTTTTCAACAGATTAAGATCTGGAACATACTAGGAAGCCAGATTATGTAACTCAGAGTAGCATAATTTCCGACAATGGGCAACGCTGTTTGCGGTGTGAATTAAATATCCAGCGGTTTCTACTGTTCTTTTGTTTCTCACATTACTTCGTTTACTAACCTGTTTGGATCCACAACAACATGGTCACCAGGTTTCAGGTGTGTGACCTCTGACCCAACAGCTGACACTACTCCACTGAACTCGTGTCCCAGAATTACTGGAGCATCGCAACAAGGGAATGCTCCCTAGAAAAAGTTAAAATATATGCCATATATTCTGCCTTGACATTGTTTATAATGTACAAACAGGTTTTGCAGAGTAGGCCTATGTACCGAAAACAGAAAATTAAAAATCAACATTTGTGCATCTCTTCCGAAATGCAGTTGATTTTGTCATATATTGGCATTAAGTACATTATTTGATTTAGGCAAAAATGAACACTGATATATACTTTAGCTAGAACATATATTGTGTGTGCATGTCTGCCTGTCTGTTTTAATAACGGAATAAGGAACAATAACTTAGGTTAAAATAAGAATACATTTTTCTACTTTGATGAAAGTTCCTAATTCTTGTTAATTCCATATACAGTGGCAATGCTTTTGAGATCTTATGAACTTGTAAGGATCCCTTTGGTTTCCTGTAAGACAGGCTATTTACTTATTAGCTCAGTGACGATCAGTTTCTGTAGAAGGACTTTGCTCCTTGGAGTCTGTTATGCCAATATGTACTGTCAAAAAACATTGTTTTGCACCTCCTTCCTTTATATACAGTACAGTTCAGTTAATCGGGGCAGCCGTTTATATGGGACATATCTTAAAGAACAAAAACCTTTTTAACTCTTTACGTGGAACTTCGCTTAATTTGGCGAAAGTGTTCTAGTCCCGAAGTGTCCCAATTAAAACCGATTCCACTGTATATTCGAATACTATCACTTTCCCTGATAGGATATAAATACTGTGTGTGTATATGTTTTGTCCCCCTCTATGTTTCATATTTTGATACCGACAGAGTGAAAGAAATGTGAAACATTCAGCACTTCCTGGTTAATGAATTTAAATTCAACTTCTTTAAGGTATGTGATTAATCACTCCAAAAGAACTAAATCCAGATGTGAAATTTCAAATTTAAGTTATCTAAAATTTGCATGTGTTTTCATGTGGTGCACCAGTTTTCAGAAATGAGGCTCTCGTGACTGAGACTCAACATTATAATTATTCCACTGAAGACTGAAGAAATTGCGTTATGTTCTAGATTTTTCTTTGGGCTGTGTATTGTTACTTCATATGGTGACGGTCATAAATGATTACCATAAGTGAGTTGTTGACTTGTGTACCGAAAGCAATCAATGACAAGTGATGTTGCTACCTTCTTCATCGTAAGAAGTTTTTACTCTATGTGTGCATTTGTATTGTTATCTGTCTTATTGTTATACCTCAGCTATATGTAGATCAGTTCCACAGATTCCAGCAAACGCAACCTGTACGATCACCTCATTCTTGACAGGTTCAGTGGGCAGAGGTGCCTTGATCAGCAAAATCTCTACCTTCTTCTTGTCAAATTGAATGGCTTCCATTGTGTGGGGTGGCATGTTTCTCTGCAACAGAAAGTCTCGTTGCTGTATTACCAATTGAGGATAATCATACTCTGAACATGATTCTAGGCCCCCACTGATGAGTTCTTGTTCTTTCAGCTTTACAAATGCAATTCTTTCAAAACCAGTTGCTGTAGGGCAGTCATAAATAAGGCTATTCAAATTATGGTGCAAGTATCATTAATATTTTAGGAAATAGACTGGTTAATCAGAATAAAATACACAACACAACTGACGATTCAGAGGTCCTTGCTGCCTACATCTTCAGAGCGCTGATGGAGACAGCAAGCACTTCTGAAATGTTGATAAACATCTACAAGACTACACAGCACTGCAACCCAGAATGCAGTCACCTCAATTTCTTCTTTGCTTCACGTCGCTCACATTCCACTAATCATTATCATCTCTCAGTCAATGAACAACTACTTACCCACGTGTGTTGCTCACGGACGTGTATGAAGTACTTTATCAGTAGCTTGTAAGCTTTTAAATAGGGTTAAGTAATGTGTTGTTATTCACTTACATCAGTATGATATCAAAAGTCATCAGTTGCAGGGTTAATGTTGTTTTCATCAACTGATTTGATGACGAACACAGCTGATTAGCTCTTTTATTCTGTCTCACTTCATTCCATAGTATTTCAATTTAAACTTTAGACTATTTGAAATTACGCTTATAATTTGTACTCCCGTCTGCCACCACTTAACTTTCCTATCTTCATTAAGTATCTTTTAAAAATGTAAAGTGAACATAACATACCAGATTTATGAACACATACGAGTACTTAAGATGATATAATTGGATGAAACGCACGTTAAATGGTAACACATCAAAATAGAAATTATAATTTGAATTTTAGATGATCCAAGGTTTGAATTAAGATACTGTAGAGCTGATAAGCCTTATCAAAACATTAATGCATCATAAAATTATAACTCTTTGTCCCAGAACAGTGGCAAAGCTTTAAATCTTGTTTCTGTGCTTCAGTGTGCAAGATAGTGCTAAGGCACACCACTGAGTAAAAGATTAGCAGGAACTGGTTTTAAATTTCGGAAGCTGAAGGTTTATAATTGTTTTCACCTAACCTAACATAACCTTGGGACCTCATCACCATGGCGTTTAGAATTATCTTCATTATATTCTGATATTATTAAGTAACATTTCAAATTTGTGGCATGTAATTCAGATTTCATGATTTAGGTAGCAGCTTCAGCATTTACGTGAATGTAATTTACGTTTCTTATACAGAGTGACTGAAAAGCCATGAATTCTGTATTAAAGTATTTATCGAATGTTGCGATTTAATACAATTCAACTGAATTAATAAACACACAATATTGCTAAGCTCACAGTCAATTTATACAACAAGTCTTATGCTCACAGTCTCAATGTATATTAAAGCCCTTAGTAGGTTATCTGCAGATGGTTTTTTTTTAAGTGGTCTAAACTAATAGATTTGAATGCTAAATAGTTGACATATTTGAGTCAGATAACATTCACATGTTCGTGTGATTGTTTTACAAGTATCGATAATAGGTATGATGACCAGCCATACGGCTTTGGCTGGCCATTACGTGGTCAGCGCATCGAATCCTATCGCCGACTTTCTGGCTTTCGTGACCAGCGTCAGCTACCCTTTCGCAAGTAGCTCCTTATTTCACATCCGCTTTTTGTAAAACGATATTTTTAATTAGAAATAATAATAAAATTTTGTCATTGGTTGCCACAGAATAAGACGAAAGGAAATATTTGGTGTAACCCGGTCTCCTGACTTAATTGGTTTACTCATTGTGGCGCGGTTTAACATTTTCTTATCTCAAATAAGTAAGGGGGCCCCGATTTCTTCTTGCACCCGGGCCTCAATTACCTTTGCATGACCATCATAATTATCATTGTAATTTTTACGTAGTAAAATTTGTTCTGTTTTACTTTTTTCCAAAATTAACTTTATTGGGGGGCCCTGCCTAGAAGCATAGGAAGTTTGACCTAGACTAGGAACATATTTTTAGGTTTAAAAGTATGTGCTAAACTGGAAGGGAGAACATAACAACAACAACAACAATGAATATCAATAAGAGTGCAACGAGAAAACTCCATTTTACCTCCCACCCCAAGCATCTACATGGCGTACAGTGGGATAGCTTTACTTTTAGGACACTTTCACTGGCGACGTATGAAATTTTTAATAATGGAAAGCCTGAATTAAAGAGTCAGACCACTAGAACTAGGCATAGATGGGAGGATAAT